TATATATATATATATATCCTCCTATTTCCAGGTCAGAATTTTGTCTGAAATACTTCTAACCAAAAACTTTAGGATTTTGCTCTTTTAACATTCAAACTAAATGATTTACTACTAATTTCACTATATTCATCATCACTAATGGGGATTTGTGTGTCGCCCCATCTTTAATTAACTCTTTTGGGTATTTTGGACAGGCCTTGCCGTAAATCATATCAAAGTTATATTGTAGAGACTTTTTTTTGTTTTTTGATTTATTTTGTCTTTGCGGTCTTTTTTTTTTTTTTTACATTTTCAGAACTTTGTAAGTCTAATATTAAGTTAAGAGTTAACTATCACTTTTTAATCGTGGTTATAAGGCTTTAAAAACGAGTAATAAGTGGCCGATATAAAGGTTATCATTGCTTTAAGGGTCGGAGGGACGAGACACGTCTCTCTGAGCCTCTCTTTCTGGAAACACTGAGTTTTACACTTTGCTGCGGTGGCAAAGTGGCCCCTGTGCTTTTGTAAAACAACGGTCTCACTGAGGATTCTAGACACTGATAGAAAATGACTGAAAACATTGCTTTGAGAGCTTTATAAACAGCTGCAGACATGTAGTCCTGTGGGGTGATTGTGGGTGATTTTGTGTTGGGGATGGTGGTCTATTGGATAGCTGTACATTGAGTTTGGATTCCGAGGTAGAAACGTCTGCATGTGTTGTCTACAGCTCAGGCAGATGCTGAGAGTTCAGTAAACTGCATGATCCACCAGGCTGGGGAGGACTAGTCAGGGGGGTACGCTCATTATACCAAATGTATGGTGGCATTGGCTAGATGGGGTTATTGTATTGTGTTTTTGTTTCATTTTTTTTTTGATAGTAGTACCGTCGTATCTACTTGTGCACAGTATCTGTACCAAAAAACTGGATTGATGAGCTGCAGTCTGCCTGTCTTTGGGAGGAATGAAATTCTGTCTTTCATTTGTCTGCAGTCGTTCGACTGGCTCACGTACTTTAAGATATACCAAAAATATTTGTTCAAATAATTGCTGTGTGTAGTCGGTGTAGCTTAGTCTAGTCAATATATTTATGAGTACAAAAATCTCTCTTCATTGTCAACAGAATATAGAAATGCAATATTTTGATGATCATTTTCCAAAGATGACCTTTTTTTTAAATTATTTGACAAAAGTGTCTCATCGCTCAACTTTTTCATTGGCAGCACAACTGACCAAAAAGAGGGTTCATTGGCGGGTTGGGGCACGAGAAAGTAGTTCCCTTTTTGGATCTTTAATTTGTCTTTTGATCACCGGGGCCTCGCCCCTAAAGCCTGATCCTGGTTATCTCTCAGCCATTTGATGGCTTTGTTTTCCTTTTCATCCGTTTTGGCTTTTTTATTTTTTTGGTAGCAGTTTTGGACTTTTCTGAAGCGTAATGGAAGGGTTCGGTTTTTATGATTTTGTACTAATATTCAGCCATAAAACAACAGCTTAAACCAAAGTGGTTTTCCTCAGTAGTTTCTGTACCTGTCCGAGCACACAAGTTGACGTTCACACGATCTCGACTCCCCCCCCCCCACACTGCTGATAAATTATTTTCCCCTCTTCTCCCACCGCGGTCAATACCGGATATTCCTGATTTGGTGCTGCTTGATGAGGGTCACAGAAACTTAGCTTCACCAACCTGCTGTTGAGAGGCCTGCATGCCGATAGCTTTATGTGAAAACCAGGCCTCACGGTGTAGACCTCGCGTCTGGAGGGCTCGCTTATTAAAAACGCAGAGAACAAACATACCACACCTCCTCTCAGCGCCGCCATTTTGAACCAGCATGCTATGAAAACAAATAATCCTGCTCCCTAAATCTGTCCGTTGACTAGTCCTGTTATGTGCTACACATTCAACCAAACCACACACAAAAAGAAACGCTGTTCTGCTGCTTCCCAATAAACCACCACCGTGATGATAAAATCCCTGAGACCGCAAGCAGTGTAATCTGTCCGTGTTATCCTCCAGTGTACTTCTTTTCTGTTGTTGAATTATTTTGACTGAATATACCTCAGCAGCACTTAAACATAAGGTTCACCTTTAGGCATTTCTGTGTATAGAACAGTGTAGAATGTATAATTACCGTCTGGCTCGCCATTCTAAGTTCATACCGATGAAACACACATAAAAGGACAACCTACTACTACTACTGCTATTTTCTAGTACTACTATTTATGGGGTATTTCCAGGTTTAATTATTATTTTGAGATCCTTCTTGCCAAAGTAAAAGCCTTTCTCTTTGCAGCTAGGCGGGTGTCTGGCTGCTCACGTTGCTGGTTTCCCCCGTCTTTAAGGCCACAACGGGCCTCGAGGACTCGGTCCTGTTTGTAGTGACTAAAGAGCTGAACATGTGCTCGCAAGATAAACCAGTTGCCATCGGCACCGTAGGATGTTACTGAAATATTTATCTGAATTAGAGAAACGATCTTTTCTTAATTCTATACATATAAATATATATATATAAACACGTGTAAGATATTCATATTTTATATTTGAACCGGTATGTTATCAAGAATGAATGTAGTGTTTATCATGCTTACTCGGAAAAAAAGAAAAAAAAAAAACCTCCCCTAAAATCTTCCTTTTTTTTAACGATTGCAAATTCTTTTTTTTTTTTTTTTTTTTTTTGAAAACTGACGACCAAAAAATAAGAGAAGAAACGTGAGACCACGCCTCGGTGGTGCGTGAGTCGCTGACACCTGCTAGGTCTTTTCAACAGGAAGTGTTTGTTCAGGCGCTCCTGACTCTGAAGCATCTGATCTTAATCTTTTAATAGATTTTTTTTTTTTTTTTTTTTTTTTTCCCCCACTTTTAGTCGTTGTGGACTTGATTTGTTGTGCTGTCTTTAACAATCATTTTAATATTTTTTTTTTAAATATTACTTTATGCCTTTAATTGTTTTGTATAGTATGAGAGGGCAAGATCACTGGCTTTCTTAGTTTGACAAAGAAGATTAACATTATCATTTATGCCTTATTGTTACGTAGAAGACATGAGCATTGTAGCATTGTTTTGTGTGTGTGTGTGTGTGTGTGTGAGAGAGAGAGAGAGAGAGAGCGAGCTTGAGCGTTGAGCTCACCTGGTGCATTGTTTTCACTGAAACAAAACCGTGTACTTTGGGCATTTTGGAGCGTGGGATGATTATGTTGCTACCTATGTTTTTAGGTGTGACTCAGACAGGTTGAGGATACCTGTGAGAAAAGCTTTACTAATAATTCCAGCAGGTGGATGTGTGTGTGTGTGTGTGAGAGAGAGAGTGTCTTATAAAGAGAGAATAGGGAGGGCAGTCTACAAACCATTATGGTGCATTTCCATCTTTCAACGGGTGTTTGAGAGTGATTTTTAAAAACATGGTGAGACATCAGAGTACTTATTTAGTTTTTGTCAGTTTTTGTCCTGCGGGGGAGGTCGCTACTGATTAACTAAAGCAAGCCAGTTCATGGGTCAAAGTCCAGCTTGTGGTCCTAGTTGGACTGTTTAATCTCTACTAATGATCTTATTAACTGTCAACTGACGGTCTTTCTGCCGCTGGTTTTGCTTTGAGTGCTTTGGTTTCACTGCGCGATCCGGAGATGTGATGATGCTCCTGCGGATCAGCCATGAATGGAGTTGTAGTTTGTCAGCCCACCACACTGGTTTGCTGGTTTTTAAGGTTGACAAAAGGAAGTGTGCAGCACCAGTTTAGGCAAAAGGAGCTGTTGTATACCTCATTTCTAACTCAAGACTGAGTGAAACCTGCTTTAATCTACTTCTGAAATATATAAAATAAAAATAAAAAAACGCAAATAAATACCCACACTTGTGTCAGTGGAGAAGCCTGTTCATACCTGTACTTTGTGAAGGGTTGTGGAACATGCCACCACAAGGGGGAGACACAATACATACCAGTACTCATGAATGTCTGCTGTTCTTCTTTCACGATTTGGTGTTTTTATGCTGCACACTGATGTATTTTTCAGCAATGATTTGTTGTAACTTGAGATTTAAGTATATTTTGGTGTATTGTATTCCTTTACTGTCGGTTCAAAGTTGCTTTTTTTTTGTGATACGAACAGACGACCCCTCCATGTTTGAACACTTTAAGTTTGACAATCCTTGTTGTTGTTTTGCTCTCTGACCAGGCACTGGTATGTAACATGTCTTCCCACTTGACGGTGCGCTGTCGCACGCCCAGTCTCTCGCTCTCCACGTGGTACCAACGTTAACCAAAGACTTCTAACTTGATTGTATATGAACGACGCCCCCGTCTCGGCTCTTCCCCCGCCTCAACGCTCAAGCATCAATTCCCGGCCGCACGCTCTCACCCGAGTCCTCGATTCATCTGTAAAGAGTTTGCGTTTTTAATTGCATGTGAATGTGTATCCGCCCCCCGGAAAACACTCCGGCGTCCTGTTCGGTCGCGGCGGTTTCAGTGCCTGTGGGCGGGGATTAAAGGGAGTGACCAGGGGCTGAGCGGGCTTCTCTGACCGACACGAGCCAATCTGGTGGTGGCTGGGTGATGTTTGTTAATACACACTGAGGGTTTAATCCTGTGCACACTGTACATGCTCAGGACTCTGTATGTGTTGCCTGTCTTGAGTGCTGTTGGTTGTTTCCTCTCTCTCTCTCTCTCTCTCTCTCTCTCTCTCTCTCTCTCTCTCTC